TTTAAAAATGTATCTAAATAAAAAAAATATTTGTTGTGCATGAACATTATCTGGATTTGTTCCTGAGATTAGTATGACAATTACTAAGCGGCAAAACAAAGAGATGACTCCCGTAGGGTCACGTCGCCCTGCCGCTTTTCTAGATGCGCTTTACACGTGGTTTGTTATTTTTGTAATTAACGCGGCCATGAAATTACATACAATAAATTTAAAAGAATGGTGTGTTTATACCTGCTCAACAATAGATGCTAGGCGTCCCAGGGCAATCCCAGCTTCATCTTCCCTTGTAAGTACTGCAGTGCCTAATTTAATTACCAATCTTCTTGCATATTTTAGATGGCTCCTTTCGGTGAAGGTAGACTGCTTCTTCTCATTAACAATTTGATTATTTCGCTTTGAATCGTAATTCGCCTGAAATTAGCAAAGTGAGGTGCGAACAAATAAAACAAACGTAATGTTAGCGTATCTACAAGCAACCTTTTTTATCTGCTGCTGACCCCAGATTTTAATAAAAACTTCCGTAAACACATCGTTAGATAGCCTTCTGGTGGAAGCAGAACCTCATGGTCTCTTAGTTTTAAGTAATTATGATAGGAATAGTAACTTTCATTCATCCCTTATAGGTAATTTGAAAAAAAAAGCTCCTTAGATCGGAAGCAAAGCATTTCAATGATTCTGAGTTTCCAGTGCCTACTGACACGATTCTGCTCAACTTGGTAATCAAACTTCGATGAATCCAGTTGCATATAGCTTACTTGAGTTAATACAGGTCTCCACAGTCTTGCAGAAGTGGAGGTACATCTTTTATAATATCCGGATAGAGTAAATATGCGCCCTGAATGCCTACACTTTTCTATTTTATTATACACAAGCAAACGTCCACTGTCGAAAATTTTGTAACGAAACATGTTCAAATGCGAACGATTGTCCGATGACTGACAAAAGAAACGTTTACAAACTGTCTTTAGATAACAATAATCATGACGATTATGTTTATCGAACTCTGGAACATGAACGTTGACATATTATTACACGTGAACGGTTTTACTCAACTTGAAGCATTGAAATCAGTATCTCGAGTAGGTACATATTTATTAATCAAATTTGTTTTTCTAAGTTATTAAATAAATTAAATATCAGATAAACATTTTAATTGTCATGATGGATTTTGCATTTGGACAACGATCTTTGGAATATAAATTTCAAAGGCATTTTTGATCAGCAAGTTAGACTTTTGGTGGTTTGGAATGTGTAAACATATTTCAGATTTTATAGTTACATATATGAGATCATTTGCTGCAAATAAGTTTGTAGTGAGTGTTGGTATTCTAACAGTATTCACATAATTTTGATCGATACATAAGTACTAACAGCCCATAATTCACTCAGCCATTATATAAAGATTATAGAATACCTATACATTCTTACTTGCACTCCATCATATAGACGGTAAATAAATCTATATAAGTACTTACATTTTGTTATGAGGTTATCTACCATTGACGTAACTTTATTACCACATTTTACAAAACACTGACGTATATACTGAGAAAAAAGTTCTAAGTGGTAACGAATAAATATTTTCGATCAAAGACTTACATACCTATCAAGATATAAGTAACAACCAATTTACCTCCACGTCTTACGAAGTATCCGGAGTAGGTACATTGGATTTCTCCACAACCATTAGGTTAGGTAGTCGTCTTTTTCTAACCTCCCACTGACAAAATTTGTTTCCTAACTATTACGACTACCTACAATGGTTAAATAACAGTTAAATAACTGCTGGGGTAGTTCGACGAGGAAAAAAAGACAAATTGTGCAAGGCGGATAAAATGTTGAATAGGAACATGGATTTAGCGTAGAACTCCGTGTATACGATATGAACAGTTAGAAGATGAAGATCCCAAGTAACTCAAAAATGTTTTGCGTATGTCTGAAGATGGTTTTTATTTTCTAAGATAAAAACATACGACAAAGCAATTGTCCAGAAGGGACCTTTACCAATGACGCTGGCGGTGACACATTGAATTAAAAAAAATTGTATATGCCCTAGCATACATTCATAGCACATTTATAACAAAATTTTAAGAATTTTAAAATCTGCATAATTCGTTCCCGAGATATCGCGCTGTCCCATTCCTCGCTGAACACCCTGTATACGCTATGTTTTGTTCCCGGTGAACCGTATAAGGAATCGAACATCAAATACAGATGCAAGCAACAAAATACATATATTGTTGTTATACAAAAATTTACCAAAATAGCGCATTTCAAAAAGATCGAATGAATTACTTCAGTAATAATAGGTATTTACTTAAACCGTCAAGAAATTACTAAATTTCAGGCTATATGAATTAATAGTTGATCTTTACCTGCACTAGTAATGTAACAGTTTTGCCTGAGTCCCATTACAGTCCTAGTACATGCAAAATAACATCTAGATTGTTCATGATAAGTTAGTCAAGTCCAAACGATGGATATAATTATATGCAGACTATATGTGGATATTTTTAAAATATTTTAATATACCTACAACAAAGGTATGGTTTTTTTTTAATTACAACAATTAATGGGATATGTGTGGAAGTAATTATTCATTTAGTTTGCGCCATCAGTCATTAAAAGGTTTGTACGCCTTTTCGTACCTCTTTCTTGACTTTGTGGGGAGCGAATCTTGCACTACGGCGGCCGCAGCTTCGGCTACATTATAGCAACGTCTCGCGTGGTACTCTTCTTCACTGATACCTGCTTTTGTACCTAGTTATAAAGACTGTATAGTTGAAAAGTACGAAGCATAAACTGCAAACTGCATTAAAAATGACACTGATTGTTTGGAAATCTCTATGGAAACAATTAAATAAAGTGATTTGAGCATGCGTGATTAGGTATCAAAATTTCACACATACGAATAATTTCATTTGGAAAAGTTATCTACATGTTGCGATTTCAGGTACAATTTTATACATAATATGTCATGAAAGTGAGTCCACATGACTTGGAGGCATTAAAAAGATACTCGGACGCTGCGCGTCCTCGTACTTTTCGATAAGCCTCCGCGTCATGTAAACGACCACTTTCATGAATTATTATGTAAATAACTATTACCAAAGAGTATACTCTTTGCTATTACATAAAAGTCCGGAAAATAACACATTACTGTCGAGGAAACATTGAAGTCCGAGGCCCCTTCCGGGCCGAGTACTTTAATTTCCCAATTAAGTAATGTCATTTTACTGACGAGTTTTGTATTAAATTTTACCCGAAATTGTATTTTATTATAAAATTTCAATTTTCATATAGAACTGTTGATTGATGTAAATTTGTCAATGATGACAGGAGGCATGATAGACGTTTAGCAATGTCACAGATGCGGCCGGTAAAGTGACGGTGCGTTCGGTAAAGTGACAGGTGCGGCCAGTAACGTGACAAGCGACAGGAAACGTAGTCTGCTCTGCGTCTGTGCATGGACATATGACATATATCTATGCGTCTGTTATGGAAACTAAAATTTCCGGACAGAAAGTTAGGTATGAAAATGAAGGTTGCAGGACTATTTTGGGTAAAAAATTGTTAATTTTTGAAATTAAGTTTTTTAAAATCTTTTTCAACAAAAAACAATAACATTTCTAAATGATCGTACCGGATCAACTGTATTCTGTAGAAAATTAGATTCTGTTAGACTATAAAATTTTTTGTACAACTGTCAAACAAACCTGTCATTTTTTGACAAATTTCGAAGTACGATAAGTACTAGATTTTTTAACGGTTAATTCGTGCGCGAAAACGTGAAAACAGTGAAAAATAGCGTGTTGTGTAACAGTATTTCTGTTCAGGATATTTAATAGTTATTTATATAACAAGAGCGCGAAGTTGAATTTCGCGCATTGAGTCTGAAGGTATTTTGACGAGGGAAGCTTTTCTGAGCATGGTGGCACTTTGTATACAATATTTTTTTTCTATTTCGGTGTCACAATGATGATTTTGTACAACTGTTTTCGGCCGAAAACAGTTGTACAAAGACAGTGATTATAGTCGTTTTTTTTTGGTAACTAATCTCTTAAGTTGGCAGTTACTAGTTAGTACAAGTCATAGATAATAATTATCTATGGTACAAGTAGGTACTTCGTTGGGTACTTCCTTAGACTATGAAATACTCTAAGGGTACTTCCATGTTTGAACTTCAAAATGTCAGTCTTACTACGCTGCCAACCTAAATCTTAACGGCATAAAAAGTGTTCCCAACATAAAACATGTTAGTTCTAATGTTCACTATAGTTTCTGATAATGATTTTTTTAATTAAATTAAAGCACCGAAATAGAAAAAATAGTATGAAAAACGCGTGTTACAATGCTTTATTGTAATACTCCTAACTTGCGGACACTCGTGGCTACGCTTCGCGTCGCCACTCGTGCCACAAGATAGTCGTATTACAATAGGTCGCATTGTAACACTTGTCTTTCAATATACTATTCTAACGGGTGTCCCAAAATTAACGCAAGATTTGAATTTGCCGCCATTTGTGCGGTGAAGTGTTGGCAACCCTGAAAAAAAAGCAATTTGACAGCTAACAGTATAGGGTTATTAAAAATGGAGCGTTACACGATAGAACAACGTGTCTTCATTATTAAAGAATATTTAAAAAATAGTGAAAGCTTGGCGGCTGCAGTTCGAAAATTTCATACAAAATATGGTCGGAATAGTGTTCACATTCGAACGGCTTGTTTTTGGACGACCAGTGTGTTTGGCGTCTCCAACGGATCCAGTCTCCATGAATTTTTCAATTAATCTCTTCACAGTTGACGAAGTTAAAACACTATTCCGACCATATTTTGTATGAAATTTTCGAACTGCAGCCGCCAAGCTTTCACTATTTTTGAAATATTCTTTAATAATGAAGACACGTTGTTCTATCGTGTAACGCTCCATTTTTAATAACCCTATACTGTTAGCTGTCAAATTGCTTTTTTTTCAGGGTTGCCAACACTTCACCGCACAAATGGCGGCAAATTCAAATCTTGCGTTAATTTTGGGACACCCGTTACAACTGAACCGATTGTTAATTAAATTTACTGTTTAAGTTCAACTTTGTCATGTGTGCGAAATACCTACTTAGTGTTGCATTCAACTGCTTGAGAGCACTGTTTACTTTCATTTTAACGACTCGAGCCTGGAGGCGTTACTACACGCATTTACAGCAGTTTGTTTTGATTTTCGATCTAATTGTATACTAATTTATGAAACAAGAATTAAGTTTCTTTCTGTACTCGGCGGTTTTAGAGTAAATATTTTTATTTGTTACTCACTTGTAAACGTTGATTAACAAGACAAAACGCAAACGGGTAAACGTCATGTTTAAACGCTACTGACTTGTAAAACTGACAGCAGACTTGTAAAACTGACAGCAGACTTGTAAAACTGACAGCAGACCTGTAAAAATTTTACAAGTTAGTAATCTAGTAATTTCATTGGCCAGAATTAATGCGAAGTCTGTTACATGGATAACATGATATTTTAGACATTTCTTCAAGATTAATTTAAGAACTAATTATTTACGTTTACAAATGAGTAACAAATAAAATATTGTACATTATACGCCAGGTAATAGTTTTTACTGGCTCTAGGATATGACAGGCTCGCCTAACGGCTCGCCAGTCAACTTCTCCTATCGCCAGTAAAAACTCACTTACCTGGCTAATAATGTAAAATACTATTATTTATGACTAACGTAATAAAGACAGATTTTCCTTTCTATGCAGCGAATTTTTGTGAATGAATGAGTTAACTTTTACAGGAATGTACCGCCTCAACTCCCATTTCTTTTGACGTGTGTTATTTACAGCAAAAAGGCGATTTCCTAAGAAAAAAAGAACGTAATAGGTTTCAATAAAGACTATTGATTTTGATTCATTTATCTTTTCCCATTTCCTCGAGGCCAGAAAAGGACCATCCACTGAAGCTAGCCGGCGCCCAACAACAATTATTTTATGTATGAAGAACCACCTCTAAATAAAATAGTTTGAGAAAGAAACGGTAGGAAGAGTTGAAAAGTAACCAGCCGGTTACAGTCGCATACAAGGTTGTCAAGAAATTGATAAAATGTGAATTATTATAATGGGAAAAGAACTTTAGGATTTAATACCAATGTATTTTCGCGATCAGTGGCGGATTTACATATAGACACACCAGGCACATGCCTAGGGGCGGCAGCTTTAGAGGGCGGCATTTTTTTGCACTATAGTTATTTTAGGTAATACTATAAGTTTTAAAATAAGTTAATAATTTTGAATTAAAATTATGAAATAAATTGTAATTGGTAGATACTTTAAACAAACTGTAATTGTAAGAACGATAATCGACAATGCAAGTTTTGACGTGTGTGAAACTATTTCTTTTCATATTAGTTTTAAAAATGTCAAGTTATAATGTGATTTTTATTAGCATCTTAAAATTTATTGCAATTTAAAGATGATTTTTGGAGCGTGCATATCTTTCGGTGTGCGTGTGCCTAGGGGCGCAAAAATGTATATCTGCCACTGATCGCGATACATAATGCGTTGCTTATGGATAAGAAAACTGTCATCTTTGTTTGAAGCATCCTTGTTTCGCGCCTTTTATGTTTCAATCGCGATTGGGAACTTTTTGCTAGCAAAATGAACGATTCGTTGAAGCGGCTGCAGATGAAGCTAGTTCGTATTTACTTCCTCCCAACACACGTCCAGCATAGGAGGCAGCATATGCACGCTTTGAGTAAGGTGTGTTACGCAGCGACAATTGAGTAGCATCATCGAGAAGGTACCTATTAAAGGGGCAGTATACCCAAATTTCATGTTTTCGTCTAAAGATAGATTAAAAATATCTAAAGGTGGGTTCATCGTTCATAGCTCTCCGTTCATCCGTTGCGTTGATCCGTCAAACGGATAGTACGTTTTGTTAAGGTTCATAGCAATCCGTCCACATTGTACATTTGCAAGTATAACCATAACCTAAACTTTATTTTGTAGTGTACCCTCCGTGATTTTGAGTATGTGAAAATGGTACGAAAGTAAGAACACATTGCTATCTGATTATTACCGTGAAGAACGAATAGGCGAACGCTGTTAACATACCAAACATAACCTCACTCTTGTTAAAAACGGACCAACGGAAACGTAAATGTTCAACTTCAACCAACTTTTCCGTCCTAAACGGACGACGTACGATTTAAAAATTTGCTGTCTTCTGATTGGCTAACGGACAAACGGAAACGTATGAACGGAGAGCTATGAACTTACCTTTAGAGTAACGGTGAAAACCGCAAGTCGCTACGCCGCGCCGTTTCGTTATTAAATGGCAAGGTGTCGAATGTAAAAAACGGTCGTTGTGACGTCATCCCGACAAATGGGTTGGTGGCGCGCTATAGCAATATATGGATTCGATGACGTTTGACGTGTTAATTTGAGACTGGTAGTCAGCGATCTGCATTATTTTCAAAAATGCCTAACTTTGTGTTTTCCCCTGCAACAATAATTTGAAAAAAGCTAATGTTACATTGCAAATTTTCCCCGAAAAAAGAAGGAGCCATGTCGAAATAACGTCTGGAAAAGTAGAAAAAACCGCTGAATCATAATATAGTCACGTCGTTTGCAGTGTCCACTTTAAAGATGATAATTTTTTTGGAAGATACAAAAAGGAAAGGACCCTGTGCATCAGCATAAAGTTTTGAGAAGGCTGACAATACTGCAATCCCTTCTTTACATTTCACAGGAAACAAAGGTCCTAATAAAGCTATAAAACGTCAGTCAACGTATCTAAGAATGTAAGATTGCTTATTGTGGGTAAACGATCAATTTCGTAGTGGAGAAGCCAATTCAATATCGAACATATGCCACAATCAAACAGAAGAACTGAATCAAATGGAACTACTCATCGTAGAAAACTCCGGTTTGAAATTTTGTTCTTAGATTTTCTTCTACAATTTTTTTGATTTTGGGTATACTACCCCTTTAACACAGATTTAACTATTAACTAGCGTATTTACAATTATTGAGAGTCGTGTAAGTAGTTTGCGACTAATGTACCAGTGCGCCAATTTACATTGACAATTAAATGTTGCCATTTTAAATAGTGTATGATTGGTTGCCTAAGTGGCAGTATGTTCCCGATTATCATTATTTTTGTCGGTGATCGTACGTGAGATAATCATCCAGGGCCAGCCAAAAAATATACTTATAATTTGCTAATGACTTTCCATAATTTCTAAGAATATAGCAAAATGTTATTGAGAAAATTTCTTCACAAATCAGATTTAGGTATTTAATTTTTGATTAGGTCCGTTCCGTATAACACCTTTTTTTTATTAGTGTTGTTCAATATCATTGCAACAAACATATGAAGTTGACGGATAGGTAAAAAAATATAAATCCATGTAATTTTACAAATACAGTTCAATTTGAGAAAAATTATCCCATTTGATTGTGTTAATTAGAATAGAGCTACCTATTGAATTAGAATAAAATGTAATGTTTTACTAGAAAGTAATGAAACATTTTCCAGGTAAATTAAAAATCTGACACATCAGCTTTTAAGTGTGAACAACTTTCCTGAATAACTCAGATGCCTTGATGCTTATCTATGCGTGCCATCATCTCGTTTGTTTACTAACATTGCAGGAGGCTAAGTTGTCACATTTCACGAGATAGTTTTTAAGGGAATAATAATAACATATACATCTGGACATAGAGTAAATAATTACTCTATGATCTGGAGCATAGAGTAAATATTTACTCTATGATCTGGAGTAATCTAAATGGATTTTTAGATGCTTATAAGAGTTCAGTAACCCAAACAATTTTAACTTACAATTAAACGGCGTAACAAGAAAAGTTATGGTGATTACTGCACCACAACGGCAACGCTGTAACTTTGTTTTCCATTATACTCTGTTTTTAAACTAAGAGGAGTAACTTGAAAAGTCTGATTTACATCCGAAAAAGTTACTAAATTTAGTAACTTTAGGGCAATTGTTTTAAGTATATGGATACATACGTACACATGTGCATTATGGGTTGCCTACTATATAAGGCATACATTATAAATGGTGTGTTGGATCATTTTTATGGTGCTTTAATACACTTTACTGCTACACATTTGACTTAAAAGAAATTGTATTTATTATGTAGACATAAATGCAATCATTTTATAAAATCAAAAGGTGATAGTTACAATATATTGTAAAGTAAATTTAATTACGTGATTTATTTATTTACAATTAATTAACAATGAATTTATAACAGCCTTTAATGGATTAATACATAACATGGTAATTTAGTTACCACCTTCATCAGAACTTTCACCAAAACTGCTGTCCTCATTGGTATCAACTGAAATTTCTATAATGTTATCCATTATACCATCTAAATTACACATTTTATCTTCCTGGTATGGTGCATTGTCCATAACAATTACAGCATTTTCAGGAATTTTCACTAAGAAAGATGCAAACCATTCTTCAAACACTTCCGCATTCATTTCTTCATGATAATCGGATGTTTTTCTTCCTTCAAAAAGTAGTAGACCCTCGTTTACAAAACCGTTCTCAGAGCCAACATGTAAAATAATGAGACGTTTCCCTTTTCCAGAAGGATTTTTTAAACCGGTAGACAATCCTTCCACAAACGTTTGTCGTCGAGTACGAATGTTATCATCAGTCCACACTTTCTGTTTTGTATGGCCTTCATTTAACCATGTTTCATCTAAGTAATATATGGCTCGTCCTTCGTTCCTATATTGTTTAATAGCTTTTAAATACTTTCGTCTCCATCTTATTATGTCGTCTCGTTCAATTAGAACACTTTTACGACTGCGTTTTAAATATCTGTAAAGAATGCATGTACGTGTTAATACCACATTCGAAAATAAATAAAAGAAAACTTACTTAAAATTAATTTGCTTCATTAATTTATATAAAGATGAACGACACATTTGTGGTAAATCCTCACGACTATTAATTTCTTTTAAGATTTTGTCCAAAGTGGGAAGTTCACTGTGGTAGAAAAAGTTGTGAATAATTTGACGAACTGATGTTTTTGTGCTTTCCTCAAATTGCGATACCAAAGGTGGGCGACCCCCCGAACGTTTAGAAGGAGTTACAGCTCCCGTTTTCTTATACTCCTTTATTGTTCGGTAAACCGTGGATTTTGCAATTCCTATATAAAAAAGTGTGTGTGTTAAATTAACATTTAATGTGTATTTCGTTTCTTACCTGCGGCATCAGCAATTTTTGCAACAATGGTAACCATCTTTGTGCCAGGGTCATCAGTTAATATCTGTTTATATAAGTTGAGTATGCACTGCTTTTCTGAGATCGATAAATGCCCCAAATTAAGACGCGTACGCCTTTTTACAGGTGAAATGTTCGCTTTACTTGTACTTGGCGTGGAATCCATATTTCGAAGTATTTGCACCAACAAAATCAAGTACAGGTACCCGGTTTAGTTCTAATAAGAACTGATTTGTATAATTGAAATTTGAACAAGACTTAAAACACACGAAAAAGGCAAAATTAAATAAAATACGTACAACACAATGCAAATGACACAGCGAATAAAGATGTCAACTGAATTGTCAAGATCCTGAAATTGCGTCTGTGTAAAAACGGCGCCGTATAAGCCAATCACAATTCAGATTTTTCGCGGGCGCTATTAAATCGCTCCTCTTTAAAAACGAACTTATAGGTATTTTGTTTATTTCGTTAAAACGTGATTCCTTAATTTTTAGGCGTTTTTATAGTGGAGGACTTATTCGATTGTGGTGTATTAATTTATGGGAGCCCTTTGAAATGGGGAAAAGCTGTATTATTTGTGGAATTATTGAATTACCTAACATAACCTTTCATCCGTATGTGTTTTGAAGTCATAGACGTGCATACGGGAATTTTCGCATTTTAATGTGTTTAGATTTCCTTCTAAGTTTCCACTTAGAAGTATCACCATACCTTATCATACATCAATAGGGACCTTTCAAATACATACAGCTTTTGGTCATAAATATTTAGTGATATGTTATTACGTTTGCTCATGTAAACAAAACATAAACTTTGTTGCCCATAAAAATAAATAAACCTTACGCCACTGACTAATGTTTACTTCCTACCTCTCAACGGTCAAATTGACTGAGATTGCCGATTGGATCAAAACAAACGTTCACGTTTAGTACTAGCGGTATACCAAAAGATAGGTACTGCATTTTCTTATACCAAGGTGCCATTTGGTACAGCTGTTACTTAGATCCATTTAGACGATTTGGCCCGAAGAACACGTGACATTTTCCGTGTGGGTAGATTTTAGAGGGGGTGAGGGTGATTTATTGTAACAGTAGCCATATAGGGCCGATCCTAACTCAACTCCATGTAAAATCCCATAAGGCGATTTTCTAGTGTCAATGTCATTTGAAGGTGACTAAATAGAGAGGTTAATAACCTAACGATAGCCATATAGGGCCGATCCTAACTCAACTCCATGTAAAATCCCATAAGGTGATTTTCTAGTGTCGTCAAGGTCATATACCTCTCCCCCTGGCGGCGACTTTAAAACTAGAGCTCTCAAAGGTTAACGATCTTAATTGCGCCTTGTTGTAAACTAAACAAAGGTCAACGATTTACCTCGAGGGAGGGGATGCCTTACGAGGGCGTGGTTAACTTGCGGGAATATAAAGTGATCTGTTAGGGTTGTTAGGCTTAATTAATAGACAGCAAGATGACAAAAACTATTAGAGCAGTCGTGATAAAATCAAAGGGATCGCAAAAGAAGAGACTTGAGGAGTTATTAATAAATTTAAAGAAATTAAAGTGGGATATTGAACTGCTTCAATGCCAACGTAGAATGAAGAAGTTAAATTTAAAATGAGTGATGTGGTGGAAGAAATTTCGTCTATGGAGTTCTCGGGCTGGAAGACCTTCTGTATAGAATTTTTTCATGGAGACTAAGAAGCTACAATTAAATAAGTTTACAAAATAATTACTCGCTAAACAAAAATTTTTGTAAACATGCATCCAATAAACTTTGTTTGAATGCACCTAATTTACTTATACTAGTCCAAATCCAAACCACCTACAAAGTGAATAGCAAAAAGATTAAGTAGTTTTATCATATAGGAGTAAAAGAGTTCCGGTTAAAGTATTTAATGGGAAAGTTATTCATAATAGTTAATGGGTATCATACGTAAAATACATAAAAAAATGGCACATCTTATCTTCGCGAAGAACGTGTTCTCAATCTTCACTTCACCTTTATATTGAGAATATTAAGAGTACACTATTTTTATTATCGAGGTACGTTTCGAAACGTATCCCTAGTAGAAGTAGTATTTGAATATAAGTAATTTTTATAACTTAGGGGAACTTAATTGTTTCAAGAGTGGAGCGCACAATACAAAATGAAGTAGTTTTATCGTCTGGGAGTAAATGTTTTACGGTATTTAATGGGAAAGTTATTCATAATAGTTAATGGGTGGATAATTTTGGAGCCTTTTAGAATTTAGGTGAAGGAAAAAACTGTTTCTACATTCTATGGAATTAAGAAATTTCAATCGAGCGCATTAGTTGTGCATGTCTTTGACCTATTATCATATGTACTACGTAAAAATAGACGTTTTATCTCCGCGGAGAACTTATTCTCAATCTTCATTTCACCTTTATATTGAGAATATTAGAGTACCTACATTAAAGTTACATTTTTAAAACGTATCACTCCTACAAGTAGTATTTAAATATAAGTAATTTTAATGAACTTAATGGTACATTTATTCAAAAGAGTGGTACTTTAAGGTAGAGCACAAATGTTAACAATATTTTGTTTAAAACCTAACAAAAATTGCTCCGATACCTAATGTATATTTAGCGGGATTTACTGCGATGCTTTTCGATACAGCGGAAGCGATGATCCTACATTACCAGCGTCGGCTTTTCATGAGAAAATGTTACTACTGCATCTCGCTCGTTAATATCCGCGGAGTCTCCCTGAATTAGCAGCACCTATAGTAGGAATGATGGTTGGCGCGAGCGACCGCGGTTTTGCGTGCGCTATTAAGTGTATGCATCGGGTACCGTATTAGAGAATGCATTAACTGCATCCATACATAGGTTCAGTCATCCAAGGATCAGAAACAGCGTTTCTAGGAAAAAAATGTAGAAGTTTTTTTCTCATCGGTTTTTTATGTTTTTTAATATGCTGAATCTGAATCTGAGGTTTGCCACCTTGCCAGGCATGAGCTTCTCAAGGGAAAATTCAAAAAAACCTCATATTTTCGGCACTTTTTCCAGTTTTTTAACTATAACTCGAAAACTAAGCGTTTTTTGGTGAAAACTGTAATGTACCAAATTAAAGTAGACAAAATTTCCTATAAATACGTTATAATAACTGTAAAGTCTGGAACAATCCATAACGTCGTTAGAGGGTGTTAAAAAAATGGAATTTCTTATCTTTTCGCTAAAAAGGTTTAAAAACGTTATTCTTCTAGCTAGTGCCCTACTATCAATTTCGTACACCTCCAAAATGAATTATTTTATGATTACTAGGTATATCCTACTTACATTTCAATAAGGGAAAACGTGAAAAACATTTTTTTTTAAATGCCAAAAACATTTTCCGCAGCCTTTGAATATATTGCTAGGAAGGTATACGATCCTTTATGGATCCATTTACTTAACTTGAAAAACTTCGCTGTATAATATACCATAAATGATAGTAAACATTATTGTACCCCCCTCCACCAACCAAAAACACTACCTGCTGTTTTCCGTCTTCCACTCCATACAGTTTAGTTAGTCTCGTGTAGCGGTGCCGTGCTGTTAATAAAACAATAAAACGAGTGTTATTTGTGCGCTGAAAAATAATGAACATGTCTCGCGAGTGTATAATATGTGACAAATCGTTAGATGATGGAACTCAGACATCTATAGTAAAGGAAAAGGGGTTGGAAGGTTTCATTGAAGCAAGTAAAGGTCGAGAGGATGGTAAAATAGATTTGTTTAATAGATATAAGACTGCTAAAGAGGTTGAGGTTCACGAAAAATGTAGGAAAAGATATACTAATCAAAAATTAATTAATGCTGCCCGTAAGAGGAATACACAAAGTAGTAATTCATCTGCACTTCGCTCCAATATTCCCCAATTCTCATTTAAAACCCACTGTTTTATATGTGGGGAGGAAGTGCCACCAGATTATTCAAACAAAGAAATAAAAAAACCAGCATACCGCCGTAATCCTGTGTACCCTGTGACCCAATTTACTGTAGGTAAAAACATAGAGAGGCTGCTGAAAGATCGAAATGATGAAGTCGGACGTGCTATTTTACTTCGTATAGGTTCAGTGCATGATTTGCCAGCTGCTGATGCTCAATACCATTTTTTATGCATGAAAGAGCTATACCTTCCCAAAAGACAAACAAAAACACAAGGTAGGCCTAGAAATGATGTGGATGAAGAAATGCAATGCATTTTCAATTACATTGAAGATAGTTCTGAAGAATGCCAGTTTACAATTGAAGAACTAATAAATAAGATTGAAAGTGACTGTCGTCCTCTAACGACGTTATGGATTGTTCCAGACTTTACAGTTATTATACGTATTTATAGGAAATTTTGTCTACTTTAATTTGGTACATTACAGTTTTCACAAAAAACGCTTAGTTTTCGAGTTATAGTTAAAAAACTGGAACAACTGCCGAAAATATGAGGTTTTTGCAATTTTCCTTGAGAAGCTCATGCCTGGCGAGGTGGCAAACTTCAGATTCGAATTCAGCAGCCCAAAAGACATATAGAACCAGTGAGAAAAAAAATTCTACATTTTTTTCCTGTAAAAAACCTCTGCTTACTGGAACTAACAGACCCGCCGTGTCCCCCAGCTAGCCATTCTCCTATACTTAAGCAAGATCGTGGGAGTAAGCGTTATGCAAACTTCTTTTCTATGCGATCACTAATAAATCTACGTATTTATGCACTGCTAAAATCGAACTATTTACGCTCATACTTAAAACGCAAACGAATTATACTTAAATTGCTCGTTTTACCATTCTCGTTGGCAAACGAATTATATCATTATAGGTTGCTCGTTTTATTCCCTTTAAATAAAAAATTAACCGTCTGTTCAACTACATTTATTTCTCTAAAAGCTATACCTGCAAATTACATTATTTTTCTAAAAGCTAATTACCTATTTACACATTTATTTTAAAAAATTAACAAATTTTTCAATATATGCTACTTCTTCCTCCAGACGTCGTTCGTTGAGGCGTGCTGCCGCAACTTCCTCCTCCAACCTCCTGGTTTTCTCTTGCGCCTCGAGATAACGTTGTCTAAATATCGGCGCCTTCTGTTCCAACCAGGCCAGCGACGCCCTGCCTAATTCTCGAGGCGTAGAGGGCTCGAACCAGGAGGGAGCGACGTCTGAAGGTTGTGGCACTCCTGATGTTGAAGGCGGCTGGGAGATTGTTTCATAAGCTTCTTCGAACACTTCCCTCAACACTTTCATATCCTTCTGTGCATGTCTGTAATAAAGAGAATAGGAATATTAGAACATTCTTTTCGCTAAAATTTCAAAGCAACACTTACTGAGGATGCAGACCTGTGGTGGT